TACAATATAGGACCATAATCTAAATTAACAATTGTACTTAAATGAATTAAATGTAATAAAGAAAAAAAACTAAAGAATAACACAATGCATCAACGTTACTATGTGATAATCACATAATGAAAATAATAACACTATAAAATCAATTAGATCAATAATAATAACCAAATAATTCATTTCTAATACCGCATTGACCCAAAAAATAAATTTCGCTGAAGTTTTAAGTTTTAATGAATACAATAACAAGTATTATTTAGAAAGAAAAATATACAGATTGAGATTTAATGTAATTTCGTTCAGCAAAAAAAAATGGACAATTTTTTTTTATTTAGTTCAAAATAACAAAAAAAGAGAAAGAAAGTTTCTCTTGGAGCTTCATTATTGATTTTTGTTTGTTGTTTGTTTGTATCATCAGTCTAAGATTAAAATGCTCGTTTGAAGACCAAAACTTTCCTTTTTCTGTTGCCCTTATATGTATAAACTGAATAAAAAAAATTTTACATTATTTTATTTCTTGCTATATGATATCACATTGAATTTCAAGATGTATATTTGATTTCATATTGCTACTTACTTGGGTGAATGCCTCAAAATAAAAACAACGAAATTAGTGAAAATAAATTAAACAAGTATGAGAAACAAAGAACTGAGGTGGATACACTGAATGACTCCCTGCAGGTGTGAGATGTGCATGGATGTAGGATGCGGTTTGATTGTGTGGGTATGAACATTGATCAGTCTTCTCTTTTTTTACATCTACATCCTCGTAAATTTATCATAGATATGAGAATCAGGACGAAAAATAATTAATGTCTTTACTATTTGTTTACTGCATCACTTTTTCAGTGTATATCGATATATTGTCGCTTAATTCAATTATGCATTGTTTGGCTATTCAATTCGCTATAAACAAAAATTGTCAGCAGGATTATGAACATTTCAGTCGAGTGATTTATAGTCGAACTTCAGTGTCTTATTCGTCCTTCATACGGAAAGAATAAACACCTCACAATTTTGAAAAAACTAAAATGTCTAGAATATTCTCAGCCATGTTGCCACAGCCAAGTCAAAATACCATTATTTTTGAAATTTGAGCGAGTCAAGTTTTTGTTTCTGCAAGAATCTAAAGCACTAAGAAGTGGATAACGAGAAGAGCTTTCCCGTCATCCTTCATTGTTATATCATGTATGAACGACGTCATTAGCACTAAAACCAATTGATCGTAATTGGGATTTGTAACTAACTGATAGTTGCTAGCAACAGAGAACTGAATTCAGGTTGAAAGGATCTAAATGGAGAAGGCTTCTCACAAGTTTGTTAGCCTCATTTGCAATACTGTTAAGTTCACTCTGCGTCTATATTTGTTGCTACATAGTAATTATATAGAAGTTTTGGCATATATGAAAGAACAACGATGCCCATTATTATTTCCAATAGAACTTTGCAGTTCATTGATTCAAAGTTGACTCGTCGTTGCCATGTTTATCAAAGTTCTACTCTTTATAACTATCAATCTGAGTCTCTGATAAGTTTTAATTTCCTTCAACACGACTAGTTTTACCTACACATCCTGCTTATTGTTATAACATGGCAAGATTTTATTCGCTGAACAATTGTCATAACTCGATCCATACTATCTATCAAATATCAGTTTGTCAGATGACATTCAGGTTATCAATGACTATAGATCTAACAGGGCTGAGAGTGAGTGGATAATATGCAGGTGTGAATGCAGAAAATACCTGTAACTACTTTCAAATAATTCGATCTTTGATGGATTCACGACCTCTCTTTGACACTTGTCTGTATCTATTTGATTTTTCTCTGTTGATATATGAATATAGACGAAGAATTTAACCTCCACAGGAACTGTGTCATTTGCACCTTGAATTGATTAGAAACATCAAGAATGTGAATCGCTTTCGTTCTTTGACGCAAATCTATTGGAAAACGATGATGCTTTTGTATAAGCGGCGAAAATCTATGACGATTCAATGAGAAAATTACTTAGATCTGCAGAAACTTGCATTAGGATCAATATTATGGACTTGTCTGATGAATTTAAGAAAAGCTCACTACAAATCCAACCATTAAACTTGTGATAAACTAACCCAATGTGATGAATTTCACTGGATGAAAAATGCATGGCACTTTTTTGGAGTGTAAACATCAAACTATCTCAATTTGTATGTCATGAGGACATTGATTATTACAGATTTGGTGAATCAAAAGAAAAACAAATAATTAAAAATCATGCAGATATATCAAAAATCACACTATAGCTGAAAAGATATTTCAACTATTCAAATAATTAAAGTATTTCAGCAGTAGATTTATTTCAAAGTTCTTTTAATAGGAATTCATTCATTTGTATATTATTTAGAGTTCAATGGATATTTAAGTAGAATAAATTATTCATCCGATTTCCTTTGTGGACATCTATTAGTAAGATTGCAGAAAATCTTCCAAAAGCGTTGGCCCATAATGAACTGATTTGGTGCCGATTCATCTTCCGTTTTTAAGTCACTTTTGTCTGCAGCTAACAAACCAGCAAAGTATTGAGTACAGTTTGATGATAAAAGTTCAGCATTTGTGTCACTTTGTATGTAAGCAATTGCATGTGCCCGCTTCGCTAAAGCATCAGCGAAGGATCCATCCTTGCTCAGTTCTATGATCAATGCTCGAGTTTGGCTTAGAAAATCTTGAGCCACCGTATCATTGGCGCACAAGTCTGCTTGCAATAAACGGTAGTCATCACCTGAAAAAGGATTAGGACCAATACCGGGAGGTTGTCTAACTAAAGACTGACTACGATCCGGTTGTTTCAGTGAAGGACGATTTGCATGAACGAGGCTCAGGTACAACTAAAGAAAACAACTAAGAAAAGTACTACTATGCTTATAAAACAGTTACATACGATAGTAACGAATATGGCAAACTTCAACATATTGGAAATTGATTTGATTGACATGAAATGCATTTTTCCTTCTATTTATTCCTTCTCTTTCACTTATTTGCTTTTGCCATATTTTATTAGTCAGTAATTCGATTATGCATTCACTTCTACGGTTCATTGAAGAAAATTTTTATTCATTTCCTTAATGAATAATTATGATTCTTATGCATAGATTTAGTACGATTATTGTTTATTAATGATGTTGCAATAGAATACGATTGGACGAATGTATACACTGCTCGTTCTTACTTTTTTTTATAGAGGAAGTTGCAATAAATAATTTAGCAATTGATTAAATGCATCGATGCAGTATATAAAAATTTTTGCCTAATAATGTATGAAATTAATAAATGAATATTGATTTTTTTCTCGTAACTCGGATTATTGTGATTATTCTTGTATGATTCAAGTCTGGTAAAAATCATGGGGATATTGGCAATCAACCGGTAGTAGTTTGATGCTTGGAAAGACCCTCCTATTTTCGGGGTTTCTCGAGAACAACTCGCTCATTTGTTTTCGATTGACGTTGAGATTAGCATAAACTGCTCGTTTGTATTGGTTTGCTGACAACCGCAAAAGACATATTAGTTAAACTATGGAATTATAAATACAGAGTGCTCTCCAAATAAAAGAATCTTTGAGAAATTCGAATAAATTTTTTCCTATTTAAACACTGTCTGTTGGATTACTTTTTTAATCCTTACATTTGAATTTGTGTATATAAACAAATTGTTGAAACAATTTCTTAATTAGATACTTTAGATCAGTTCCTTTGTGAACCTAACGAGTTTGCTTCCTATGTTCCTACAACATTTTACATTTACATCAGATAAATTATTGTGAGAATAAAAACAGGAATCTATCCAATGAGATCGATGCAGCATTTAGAATGTAAGATGTGAATTCAAAGGAGAACTAAGTCCTTCGCTACACCCAAATCCTGTTGTCAGAATATTGATGACTTTCATTTTCTACAGAGTGCTGAGCAAATATTTAGGAATGGTTGAATCAGATGAAAATTTGCAACTTGTATCAAATACAAAAGTTATTCAAAAGTATGATTCTGCAACAAAATTACCGATTAGTTAACATGGTGTTAATGTATTTATGATCATAAAACTCATACGCTACATATTCTGTTATGAAATATGAAAAATATGACTGTATCAATCAATCAAAGAATAAAGATTTCAATTAAATCAACGGAATAACTTGACAAAGTTAGTTGAAAAATTAGTCATTCATTCTATCGTCTTACTTCATCAAAGAATTCAAAACGACGTACATCAATGATTAAAGTTGAAATGCTTGGATTATCAGCGATCACCATTGAATGAATCCTGTCAAAATTTGTCATCTGTTTCGTTTTTTCGAATTACGAGGCAACAAAAAAGTTTCAGTGCACGTATAATTTTTTGACCAACTATACATTATACTAATTGAAGAAACTAGTAGTAGTATGACAACATATTGATAGAAAATTATGATCGTTGCCTTTCCAAAAATTTTCAATATGAAAAGACGTCAGTCGACAACCATTATCTTCCTTAGTAAAGATACTATGCATAAGTTTAAAGAAAAAAACAAGTGTTTCGGAACACATTAGTCGCATTTAATGCTAGAGAAAACTCTAAAATGAACCAATAGTTGATAATATGACTTCCAAATAGTTACTTAGACTATGATGAATCAAACGAATGATATAGGAAATTTTTTTCGTAAGATTTTTTTTATTTTTCGAAATAAATGATTCACGTCATAGAGATTGATTTCCTTATTGATCATAATTTTCCTTAATATAGAAATCAATTTCCAGATGTATATTCAAGGCAAACAAAAAAAAAAACAAAAGGAAACAAAATAATAATAAATACACGCACATATGGCAAATACAAAAAAAAAACAAAACATCATTATGTTCATGCCTTTTAATCATTCATTCGTTTGTATAATTTCTGCTCACCACCACTGTTCTACAAACTTTATGAGACAAATAAAAGACTGATATCAAATAACAAATATTAAAAATTCAAGACTAGTATTCAATTTATAATTCTTGTACAAAATTGCCTGGAAATAAGCCAATATTTCCATGCAAATTGCCTTTAAACCAATTATCAGAACGACGTTCAATTAATACAATAATATCACCTGAAAAAAAACATTTCATATCAAATCAAAATAAAATGAAAAAAAAAAAACAAAAATTCAATTTTACCTGGTCGTATAGTTAATTCATCATCATGTCGTGCATCATAAGCATGCAATACTTTAACATGTTTAACTGCTTGTTGTTGTCGATAAGAATCTGTTGATGCTGTCATTACATTCGGAAGAACTGGATAAGGTGGTGTAGGTGCTGCTGATCGATTATCTATATATAAAACAAAAAAAGAAAATCAAATTTATTATTGAACGTATTTTCATCTTCGAAATGAAAATATTTATCAAAGCAAATCCATAACACATGCATTGATCATCACACAATAATATTAACTTACACGTTGAATGTATACCTGAATAAATTTGTTTGTAAAATAAAAGCAAAAATGTGTTATTATTTGAATAGAATAGAATACAAACACAAAGCATATGAATTTTAGTCTTTTTTTTTTAAGGAGCGAAATTTCGAACTACCTTAGATCTTGATTGATCAAAATAAAAGAAGAAGAAGAAGAAGAAGAAGAAGAAAAGCATAATAGAATTTTTTGAAAATAGAAAAACAAGTTTTGTTTTTAAAAAGCAAATATTTGTTAGTAGTCGAAACTTACAAGAACTTTTTTCATTAGACACAATAAAAAGTGCGGGTGATGCTCTATAATCTATAATAATGAATAGTTAGTTTTCATTATTAAACTTATCGAAAATTGAAGTAAGCCCAGAACAATTATATAAAATAGATGAAAATCTTATGTTTTTCTTTGTTATTACCTTGTGTTGGATGATCATTCGGAGCTTCATTAATTGCCCAACCTATTGGTGCTGGTTTATGAGTTGAATATGGCGGTGGTGGTGCAGGTTGTTGCATCATAGCTGGTGCGGCAACTATTGGCATTGTCCGTGCAAGATAACCCATAGTAGATGGAGGATTTTGACTTAATGGTTGAAATGGAATTCGAAGGAAGGTTGTTGGAATTCCCTAAAAAATGGAAAAAAAAAGATTTTCTACATCACTAGAACATGAACACACCCGTAACGTACGGAAAGAATATACTTCTGCCTTTTGGTATGGAATACTATTAAATGGCAGATTCTTTACATGTCGTTCTGGGGAGAAAGTTGGTCTAACGCAGATTTCTTGTGCTCAATTGCTTGAGCTCTTCATACACACTAACTAGCTATATGCCAACCACAAGGACAAGTCTATGTCACAACGTAATCAGCATACTATCGAACAGACGACCCTAGATAAATAACTATTAGTGAGTTTAATAACGTAGTCACTCAGTCACGGCGATTCTATACAGTAGGCATATGTTAAATTAATCAGTGAACACCAATCAAGTATAGTCAACATGGATTTTAGGTGAACAGTCTGTTGAAACTACACTTACTCACAGTTCTTGAAATCGAGAGAGAACAGACTATTTTCAAAAAATTCTTAACATAGAGATCATGCTATTAATATGACAATCATTAAATTTTATCTTTAAAACATTCCGAAAGAAGATAATAATTTTCGAAAAAAAAAATTTCTCTTTTCGAACTTTGAAATTCTATTCAAATAAACAAATATTTCTCTTCTCTATTGAAATAATCAAAATAGAATTAGCACCATCAATCTATATTCTACATAATTAAATACGTTCAAATTTTCATTTTCTATCATAGATTTCATATAAGAAATCACACTCTCTTACGTACTTTATCCGTATAACTTTTGGCAAAACGTTGTGAATGTTCATATCGTGGTTCTGGTAAATGTTTAATTTGATTATAAATTAATTCTATTTTATATAAACTTCCTTCATAAAGACATTGTAGAAGACGAACCTTAAATTAAAAATGGAACAAAAAAAGAAAACAATCATGATTATATTCAATAAAAATATTCTTACACTTTCACGATTAACAAATATTTCACTCGGATTAACACTTGTTGAAAATTTTTCATTTTGTTTACAAAATCCTTGTAAATTTTCAATACCTATATTTCAAAACAAAAAAAAAAACTTCAATATTGAAATAATTTAACACAAATAAATAACAATAATGATTTAAAACTAAATCGAACAAGCATCAAGAAACATACATGACGAACAATCGTGCCCAAGCATTGATAGAATGGGTGCAATAAATATATCAAAATGAAGAAGAAGAAAATACCCTCGCGTTTTCTATTTTCTCTTTTTTTATGATGATACATAGCACCATCATCATCATCATCATTTGATGAGGACGATAAATTGTCTCGATGCTGTTCACGATGAATCACAATATCTAATACAATCGAGCAGGATGATATTATTTAATTTAAGATTTTCTTTTTTTTGAAACAAATGACAACCGTCAATAGAACAAACAAAGACGAATATTATATAGATAGTACCTGTTTGTGAATGAGAGGATGTAGAACACATCGCTCCATCACTTGACAAACTTTCATCGTCGGTTGGTGAATCTTCCTTACGATATTTTAATGGGGAAAAATTACCGACTATAATGAAAAATGGATGTGCTGTTCTTTTTTTTTTGTTTCATCTCATAGGCAGGAGAAATGATTAATGTTCAAAAAAAAAAAATAGAATAAAACATGAAAACAAACCATCTTTTGATCGACGTTGTACTTCAATATCTTGTTTTAACATTTGTATCCAATGCATAAGACTTAATATTCGTCGTTCTTGACTCATTGCATTATGGTCATTTTCAGCCTTGATAAAAGAAAGATAAACAAATAAATATTTTATTCAAAAAATAAAAACAAAAATCATGCTTTTGTTTTTTTCTACATACATAAATATCATATAGTAAAATTTCTGTTTCAGTTGTTTGTACATTAAGTTTACCTTCAGTAATAATATCATCTTGTGGTGTTATTCGGATAGAATATAATTCTTGTGTTACCTTTAAAAAAGAATCAATTATTATTCTTTTTTGTTATTTTTAGATTTTATGTTTACATAAAATAATTGTAAGAAAAGCAATTTTCTTATTTTGTAAATATCTAGCTATTTTCTGAAACAATTGAAGAAGTACGATAGGATTTACAAATGAAAATTTCAAAGTAGAAACACAAACTATTTCAGATGTTTTGAAATAAATTTTAGTATATATAGAATTTCGCTTCTTTAATAGATGAATTTAGTATAATAACAGTTATATATTGTTGAGTTACATATTTATCAATTTAGAATATTAATTGTATCATAATGAGTACATCATACAATAGAATTTTCCTACTGGCTTTATTGTTCATGTTTTTTTGGAAACAATAAGACAAAGGCTCTTGTGATAATTACTTTTTTTTTTATTCTTTCCTATAATAATAATAGTTCTAGTCTCTAGTATACTCTAACACTCGACAATATTATATTTATCATGAGTAGAAATTTCCTATCAATTGTTTTTTATAATCTACAACAAAAAAAAATAGAAATATTTATCCCGTGAGAATAACTTTAATGTAATTGTACCAGCAGGTAATAAGGTCTATTGATTCTTTATACTAAAAATTCAACCTTGTGTCAAAAGTCTAAATATTTACTTGATTCATCGTTTCACTAAGTTTTTGTATTGAATTAGTATATGTTTGAATAAATTTTTCCATTTCATTAATTCGATCAAGTTCCATAGTTTGCATTTGATCACAACTCTAAAGAAAAAAAGAAAAAAAATTATTTTCTTGAAAATCTAAAGAATTAAAACATGTACTTTACACATTTCAGCATCACATGATTGTCTTGCTAATTCAACATCTTTTGTTGATTCATGATATTTTTTTTCTGTTTTCTCTAATTCTTGTTCTGCTTTTCGTAATGACATTTCAATCTATTTAAAAATAAAACCAAAAAAAAAAAAGAAAGAAATAACCAATGAATAATTAAGAAATTAATATTAAACAAAATAAAATTAAAGAATTAAATCTGATAAATATAAAAGCAGTTGAACGCAATAAGTTAAAATATAGTCAGTGCATTTTGTTAATTAGAATTCTTACGTTTAATGTCTGCTTGCCATTGAGATTAGCAGGCAACTATAGACGAAAATGAAATAATTTAAATATTTCATTTTAATAATAGAAAATCATTAATAAGATATAATAAAACGAAATAACAAAATGAATCATAAGTAAATAATTGTCTCAATGTTTAAAAAAGAAAGACTGAAAAACTATTCATATTGAATTATATAATTCTGCAAGGATATTCGTTCTACCTTTCTAAGGTTTCTGAAGAATGATTCATCAAAAAATTTTGAAAGTTTCATAGCGCAAGTAGATATTGATAAGTAAAGTAAGATTTGTCATAGACTCAAAATTTTCCGATGCTATTCTTCTTCGAGATACTAGGATCTCACAATGGAGAAAATTGCCTTCAATTGTCTTTCACCGTTTCTTCAAAATTTTTTACTCCATCAAGCTGAAAATTTTGTTTATATTTTTTTGTCCTTCGAATAAAAAAAAACTCGAAATATTGAAAGTATCGAAAAAAATGCAAGTTTTTTTGAATCGATATTTTTTGTTTCTAAGAGTTATCAGAAAAAAAAAAGTCTAATGCCAAATAGTATCTAGTATATATGGAGCATGCTACAGCTTATTTCAAACTCATATATATTAGAATGAATTAAAGAAAAGTTCGAAACTATACCTCAAATATTAGTTTTAATTTGAAATTATCCTGTTCGTCGTATTTCAAGTAAAACAAATCGTTCTAAGTGATATATTGATTTTTAGGGAGACTTTCATTATCATTAGCGTGAATTGTTAAATTAAATTCAAGAGTAAAAGGAAAAGAAACTTTAGTGCAAGAAAAAGTATTATTAATAATCTTATTTTTCATATTTCAACCTTTTCAGAGACATTTGTTCGATATCCACCAGGGGATATACAAGCTGTGACCAATTGCGCTTCCTGTATTTGATAATACATATTCGATTGGAAAAAAAAACGAATTTTTATTTCTTAAACTAACCTTGCTAACTTCTTTGACAGAATTTTTTGTTGTTTTTGGAGTTTCATCCATTTTAAGATATAATGATTCAATTTCTTTGCAATTGTCAAATTGACGTTGACGATACTAAAATAAAAAAAAATAATTTATATAAATGAAAAATATTTACTTTTGTTTTATTTTACTTTAGTATCGATTTCTTTTTTATCTTTCCATGCTTTAAATTTTCCATTTAATGCATCTTCAATCTTTGAAAGAAAAAAATCAAAATAAAAAACTTTAATTTATATTTTATCAAAAAAAAAAAAATTCATATCTACTGGTTTTCTTGCTTTAAGTTGTGTATCAGCAAGATTTTTCATTGGAATAGATATTTTATTAAGTAATATATTAGCTATTATATTATGTGCTTCACTTTCAATATTTGTTTGTGTCGCAAGAGTTGTAAATGCTTGTACTAAAGATCTATTTATTTATTAAAACGAGTAAGATTTTTTTTTTTTAATAGGATCTTTTTTTTTTATATTCGTACCCTTTTGCTCGACCAGCAAGCTTTTGAAATGTTTCACTGTTCTTACGAAGACCTTTGGCATAAGCGATTTCGATGTCGTAACTAAAAATAACATATGTTGAAATTGCTATGAATAATAACTATTGGGATTTTTTTCTTTTACCGTTCTTGCCAACATTTTGCAGTATCTGTACATAATTCATTACCGCTTTTCATTAGTTTTTTCAAGGCTTCATAGCCTTTTTCACCCTAAAATATTCAATAACATTGAGTATTGATTCAATGATCAATAAACTTACCACAAAACAATCTCGAAACTGTTCGATCGTCATGTTTAATCAATAATCTGCAAAACAAAATGCAATATAATCACATACATATATATATATAAACAATTTTCTATCATATTAATCATAGTTCTCTCGAAATATGATTCATTTCCTCTGTAGCTCTTCTATTCCATAGTATTTACATCTCACAGTATGTGGGCTTATATTTGTCGCATATACATTCCAGTTCTTGAGCAAGTAAACACAGTAACAGCGACGACGAAAAATAATAGAGAGAAATAGTTTTTTTTTTTCCTGTCTCATGCAGTCGACATAAACTAACATCATTTTCTCGTTGGTGATAACAGAGAGAAGTACTAACATAGTTCCTTTATTTTTATTTTCTTTTTTTTGTTCTATCTATTGGCCTTGTTTATATAAGAGATCTATCATGAGCTCAACTGACATTTGGACGTTTATGTATTAATGTCGTCAAGTATACAAGGATGCCTGACCTAGACCATCGTCTGTCTTCATTTCGTTCTACCTGCATTGTATTTATTAAGCAAAAAGAAAGAAAGAGAAAGAGAAGAAGAAGAAGGCGAAGGAGGAAAGAATACGAAAAAAAAAAGAGTTCACCATTATTGAGTACCAATTCGTACCAACATATTTCACCTATTACAATAAAATACTGATGATATGAATGGAATAAACTAAAAAGTGAAAATGATCACTTTCATTTGAATTTTTTGAAAAGTTCACTAACGAGACAAGATGTCTGTTCTTATCATTACTATTATTAATGAACAAAATAAAACAACAAACATAATACAAAAAAAAAAACTCAAAGAAGATCAAAGCATTGTATGTTAAACAAATGTAATAGGAGTAGACAGATCAAAATACAAAAGAAAAAAAAATCCAAACGGTAGTATATAAAGAAAAAAATGTGTCAGAGATTTCAGTAAGTTTCATTTGACATTTACAAGTATAAGAACCTTGAAATTATAATTATAACATGACGCATGATGTAGAATTACATCAGTTGATGTACAGAAAAATAAAACATCAAACATAGTAGATTTTATATTCAAAATTTTGTCTGCGGTTAATATACAACAGAATCAATCATTAACAGAAATATTATTCAATTCAATGGATCGATTCATCTATTTGACCATTCGTAGAATGAATTTTATAGGATGTCGCTATTGGTCGATAAATAATGACCTTTATGTCAAATGTCAAGAGACCAACAAAAAAAAACCAAATTAGACAAAAAATTGTTTCATTTTATTACATCAAAAATTTCTTGTATATCATTATGCGTCATTTATGTAATTACTCAATGTTAGAATATGATCATAAAAATGTTGACACATTGTATTCAATTAGGGATATGATTACAGAATAATCAAAAAACTATTGTCTATTTTTTTTGTTTTGGTTTCTTTGCCTTGTCAATATATGTAACAATGACAGAAATGAGTAAATACCAAAGGTATCAGTAATCATTTTATTTATAAAGAAAACAAATAAAATTGTTACTAATTCTAATAAGGGAACATTTTGTATTGTCTGACATCGTTCGATCATGAACTTCGAATCGTTTCGATTTTGAGGTGGTACCGTTAGCATTTTTTTTTTAAATAAGTTCTGCATCTGAAAGTTAAAAAGAAGAAAGGACAAACTTTTTTTATTCAGTTTAATTTACATGAAATATAGTTAGTATTTGTTTGTTCGAATGTGCATTTTATAGTGTATAAAAGTGAAGAGTCTTTGATCTGCTTCACTAGAAAAAGAAAATTTTAATAACGAAACAGATATATTCACAAGAAAAAAAAAGATGTTTCATGGTGATTTCGTTTACTGTTAAAAGTATTTAATAGGCATACAATCTTTGTTACAGCAGGTGAAAGGAAAATTGTTGACAGATTTTAGTTAATATGAATTAGATTTCCTTTACAGTTCTTCTTTACTTGTAGTAAAAGATCTTCGCTTCAAGTCGTTCTTGATATATGATCCGATACTTATACAAAACTTACTGTTTCTTTAAAATCATTTTCTTAATCTGTTTAAATAGGAGAGTGTCATTATAATTCGCCGAAATTGGTAAAAATTTTTGGTATTTCTACAAGAATTATGATGCGTTTCTCAAACTCTATTAATCTGATGAAAGGAGAAAAAATGTTTGAGTCAACTCTAACCTAAGAAGTCTCAATCTAGAGTAGACTTGGGTCTATTCAAACCTTGTAGCTTCATTACCTATAGATTAGGACTCAGTAAAACTGAAAAAAACACTATATAGGTTCGGATCGATGTATTACCCAACTAAATTCATGACCGTTTTGATGGATTTTCGACCTTTAGATCAGCTATTCATGAAAAATTCAATTACGAGACTTTTCATCTATAGATAGACCTCATGTCCACTAGAATATCATTAAACTAGCAACTCAAACAAATGTATTTTTCTTGAGATATCGAGTATCTAACATAACTTGAGGGTGAGTATAGGTGTGATCAGTCACATCTTATAATAATTCATAGAAAATGAGACGGAGTTTTCAAAAATATAAACAAAGCAAATCAATGAAATAAAGACCAAAAACGTTTCCATCCATAGAAGTCTCTAACTTTGTATACGATTTGCATTTCCTATTTACATTCAATCATTATAATAGAAATGAAGTAAGTAATACCGAATAGACCATTTTTATAGATAGTAACAACTCGATATAAAACCACTCGTTTTGTAAATTTCACGGTTCAACAACACAGAGAAATAAGGGTTGTTACGAAGAGCGACTCATCGCTCTACGATATGATAGATTTATTTACATTGTTAAATTGAAAGATCAAAATAAATATTAGTTCTAAATCAAAACAGTGACTTTTTATAGAATTATGATTTCATTGATCTTTTTTGTTTACTTCATTCTTAATCATTAATAGGAGAATTCGCTTTTCTGTAGTACAAAGGAGATCAATTTTAAAATAAAGAAAAAGGGTGTGGGTGTGGGTGTGTGACAAGATAAAGGTTCGCTCCCACACCCACACCCACACTATCAATATGGATATACGATACCAAACAGTGGAAATATAAAAGCTACCGAAGAGAAGATGAGAGCATCCAAAAAAGAACACCGAAAGGAATTGAATACAAAAACTAGAAAAGAAAAGGTGGATATGTCTATCTGAGCAAATATATATATAGATACTTATATAGAACAAAGCATGAATAGGTCAACAGATAAAAACCTTTGATGACTCATACTAATCGCACTTATTTTTTACAGATACTTGACTGATATGTCTTTTCCCATAATGCATTGATGTCTATCTAGAATTAAGCACACAAAGTAAACGATAGATTAGGAAAGAAATTTAAGACAAAGAGCAACAATTAATTTTGTTTCTGTTATAGAAAATTTATTAATGCATTAACAACAGTTGAATTTATTTCAAGACAATAAAACAAAATCTCGAAAACAGGAAAATCTGTTTGTGAGAGCCAAAATACTTTTCTTGCCAAAAAAAATGTGTGAGCATGAAGTTCATTCATATTCTACGCACAGTAATCTCAACCTCAACCCTATACAAAGCACAAATTTCTTGTCGTGTAAGGTATGTTCTTTTCCACGTAATAATGTATGTTTATACTTATACTTCGAATATATGTCTGAATTTCAAATAGAAAGTATACAGACCGAGCACAGTATAAAGTAATGAGTATTAGAACTTCACTGAATATGCTTTTATTTGAGACAGATCTCCTCTTATGTGAAGTATTTGGATGTACACTACTTTAAGTATGCCTTGCAGCTGTAAAAATGAATTTTTTTTTGTAAAGAAAACCTAAAAAATTTTCTTCAGAGTGTATTGCAAAAAAAGAACTAACATATTCTTTACATACGTGTTTTTTTATTAAAAAATACAACTGTAATGAACTGTTCTTTCCTTTTAACTTTATCTTATATATTGCCCAATCCTTAGCTAACGTACCGCTAATGAAGAAACATCTCCCAATGTGAGGTTCATCGACAGTTTCACGCACGACATTTTTGCACACGATGCTTCCATGCAAATCGCTTTTTTTTGTTTAGCTTACATGAAATTAATGGCTGTTTGGTGTGCTTGTGAAAGAAGCTGTATCTGGACACACCCTTGCACACACCCATTCCTTCATGTATTTAAGTCTTACATATGCAACACAAGATCATAGACCACTAGTTAATGAAAATTTAAAATTGAAATGAGAAGATGATGTAATTCATTGATTTCTAATAAAATATTTATTAGTGACGGTTTTCAATGATAAATCTTCAAAATTATTTATTTTTGGTGTATCATAAACATTCTTCTTCTAATAAAAATTCATGTCGACTAATGATAATCATATTTACTACGAAATTTCGCAATTTTTATTTTACAAAAGAACAATTTGTTTGTGTTAGACAAGACAAATAAAAGAAGATCATTCAATTTATGAATTGATGACATTGAATCGATAAATTGTTGTAATCTACAAAGTGAAAATCTTTTTATCTCTAATTATATCACTTATTTGGTCCTTAGGAAAAATAGAGTAGTGAACTTATTTTTGTCTTCTAATGTACTATCAGTTTCGTTCATAAGATGTTGATTGAATTCATGTTCAATATGTTGTTAAAGTACTGTATACAATTAAAAATATCGATATCGTATTATCCAACTGATTTTTATTGTCGTAGTTGCTTTTAACTTTAGTTAAAACAATAAAATTATTACTTGCCAAGAAAAAAAATATATTGAGTCAGAATGATATTCAGCTTTTCATACAATGCCTTTTCAATTTTGTCGTTCTGTTTAAACATATAAAAATTTATTCCATTTCATTATTTCATCATCACCTTTGGTGAAAAAATCAATAACCATACAAAAAGAATCTTAATTAATACATGATTACAAAAGATATTTACAATCTTCTTTTTAAAGCAAAAAATTTGTTTATTAATCAATTCGTGTTGTTTTTTTTTTCGTTCTTTGCTGATGTTGTCTAAAAGAATTTTTAATAAGAAAACGAACCATGACAACAAATAAGCCTTCAAAGAATAAGAAGTAGAACAAATTTCTATTGAATAATCTAGTTCATCAATAATGGATGAAAAAAGAAGTAAAAACAAAATTGTGAACATATCTGGAAAATCAAGCATTATAAAAAGATATTGACAGATATGAATTTTATACTAACATATACTATGAAATTTGGATGTCAGTAGTATTCTTTGAAAGAAAAAAATCATTGTGATTTTATTATCAAGAAACTATACTCATGTAGAAACCTTGTCAAACACTATTATTGGACAAAGCATAATAACATTGCAATCTTCTCAGAGCACGTATTGCGTATGTGCCTATATGTGAAAACCATAATATTTTATTTTAGAATTAAAAAAGAAGAATCTATTTTTAGAGATAACTTATAAATTCTTAGATTTCTGTTAGTAACTTTTCTATTTATGATTAACAGATTATAGGACTAATGTCAGATTCAATGAGGACTGACTGTTGTCCATATTAACTTTCATAAAGAATATATAGATGAATATTCAATAGTATTTAATAAATTTTTTCAAGTGAATAGTTTGTATTCAGTACTAAATTTAGAACATATACTGTAAAATGAACTTTTATTTTAAAAATAAATTCAATTGCTTTCATTTTATCATGAATATATATTTTGACTTTAGTCTATTGATCTATCGAAAGAAATTTGCATGTGTTGAGAATGAATTTTTTTGATAACAGACAAGTAGATGTTGCTTGACTATTGGTAACACATCTCGATGTGATTGAATATTAATCAAGTTTAAAATAGCTCAAACAATAATCATCATCGATACGGTTTCGCATACTATCACATGCAGGCGTTTGCAAATTCGATTCACTTCTTCATTAAAAAAACTCTTCTTCTTTCGTCACAAACTTTGAAAAAGCAAAAGAAAACAACAGAAGTCATATTTCATATGTGCCTCAAACTACAATCATCCCAGCGAGAAACAATAACACTGAAGAACAACTGATACTATTCCGATAAGAACTGTGTCTACAGGTATTGAAATTTATTTCATCAATGTGTTTGCAATTATGAGAATCTATGGCTTAAAGAAAATAATCCAGTTTCGTAGTGATATTTATATTGAATTCTACTTTGAAGTATTTGTTGAATAGAGGAACTTGAAAAGTAGGTTATTCTTGCAAAATAATGCATCTAATTGTAGTTCACATATGGCAATATCACGAGAATAAAGGTTCAAAAACATGCAAGCCATGGATTCATAAAATCAAAAAAAATTGCATTAACTTGAGAAACAGATATTTTCATTAGTTTAATGTCATGATTTTGATCGAAAATCAAAGTCCTTGCATTTTCTTCATTAAATTGTCCATAGAAATAAATGGATATGTAGAATACATTAATTTTTATGTTCGTTTCATCTCTTGTAGCGTCATTTCTCTCGTAAATTTGGTAAAATATTCACGAAAGTCATGAAACTATTTCTGAATTTTTAAGCTCATGGATTACAATATCATTTTTTCTTCAATTAAAAAAATCAGTTCGCTGCAAACTTATATAGAGAACATATCCTTTTTTTTCGCTTGTTGAGAAAATATTTTGTTAAGAGAAGGTGTTTTTCAATGTACACTCTACTCAACAAAGAATAAATTTATGAAATTCTCTGATGTACTATTAACATTTGGTTTTCGTTATACGATATTGTTCGAAACATTTGTCTTTGTAGATTTTGATTCATTGATTTAAGTAGTGACAAACAATGTACTTCGGTCTGTTCATATTGTATTGTTCTTTCGCTTTCATGGGTGCAAAACATTTCAATGGGGGAAGTATCGGATGGGCTCCTGTTGATCCTTATGATAATTCCACGTCAGTTAATATTACTATTACACAGACTTATTCATGGACATATCCATATATAAAATGTGCCAATAATGTGCCGAGCTCGACTAGTGGATGGAGCCGTGCCAACACTAATCTAACTTGTGTAGTTGATTGTTCAACTGATGGTGGTTATTCTACTAAACCAATTGATATTCTTACCGATTGTATATCAGCTAGTTCATCGATGAAAATGATGACAAGTGAACGATCAAAAAGTGTTACTCTATCTGCTGATGCACACTTTTATATAGCTTATAGAGGAAGTGCTTGGGTAGCATTGAATGATCCTGCTGAACAAGGTCTTGACTGGTCTATTGTAACATACATTGATCTTCGTAAACGACCAGATGGTTTCATTAATACTCCACCTGTTGCCAAAGTTGTTTCTCCACAATATGCTATTGTAAATAAAACAATACAAATAAAGATTCCTGTGTCAGATGCGAATGCTGGTGATGATGTTCGTTGTCGATGGTCAACATATACAACTGGATATCGAAGACGAAAACGATCCGACCAAGAAGAATATATCAAGCATCGATCAAATGTTCATTTTCAGAGCAAAGCAGCTAGTGATAGAGAATTCATTCATATTAGAAAAAAAAGAGCAAGTTGTGGTGGTGGCTGTGGCTCTTCATGTGTATTTGGCTGTGACTGCGGTTGTAATGGTTGTACTGGCACATCATGCACTGGTACGACATGTGCTACTAGTGGAGGTTGTCTTGCGACAACCTCAACGCATGCCACGACCACAACCGTTGCAACAACAACAACCGTCGCAGCAACCACAACCGGTGCGACAACGACCGTTGCAACGACTACAACCGTTGCAACGACTACAACCGTTGCAACGACTACAACCGTTGCAACAACAACAACCGTTGCAACGACTACAACGGTTGCAACAACTACAACCGTTGCAACAACAACAACCGTTGCAACGACTACAACCGTGTCAACAACCACAATCGGTGCGACAACAACCGTTGCAACGACTACAACCATTGTAGTAACAACAACTCTTGTGATGACCACAACTGGTGCGACAACTACAACCGTTGCAGCGACTACAACTGTTGCGGCGACTATAACCGATACGACAACCACAGCCGTTGCAGCAACGACAACAGGTGCAACAACTGCAACTGATACAGCAACCACAGCTGTTGCAGCAACGACAACAGGTGCGACCACTACAACCGATACGACAACTACAATCAATACAACTACTACAGAAACTCCCGGAACACCAAGGTCGACTTCGACGTATCCAATTCGTCAGGCGATTGACGAATGTGGTGGTATTTGTTATCCAGGCAGTGTGCCTAATGGTACAACAATGTCTAACTGTACTATCACATTCACAGGCCATAAAGCTGGTGTCTGGTATGCGGTGGCTATTCAGGTAAACAGATTTTTATTCATTCATCCCTAATTCTTCAACCACGGTCATTAAGTTATTTATCGTTATTGGGGGCTTATGGCTAATATTAGTTTAATTGGACATTTAATCATCTGATAACAGTATTTCACCCTTGTTGAGCCACTTTATTGATTAAAAGCCTATACACAATCAATCGTATCAGACACTGATCTCGAGAAAAAAAATGATGTTTTAAATATCAAAAGAATAAGATATCAGCTTAAGTTTATGAAAAAATCTAATATTGATGTATAGTATAGAATGATTGTTTCGTTTTCTACAGGTTGAAGATTTTATTGATGGAACAAGTACGACACCATTGAGTTCAGTACCAGTTCAGTTTTTGATTTATGTTCAAGCACAACCAGCTTGTTCAAAAGAACCTGTAATTATTCCTCTAGATCGTTGTCTAGAAGTACAAGTTGGTGTCACAATCAGCTTTAATCTATCTGCAATGAATTTATGTAATCAGACTGTAGCTACACTTACTGATATTGTGGTTTCCAGTGGAATTACTGGTATGACTCATGGTAATCTTACACATTCGTCAACAAATTCATCGATCTCCTATATCACGTTCACTTGGATGCCACAGACAAATCAAATTGGATCACAACAGTTATGTACAGTAGCAT